AATTTATATTTTATAAAAGAAAATTTATAAAATGAGAGCAGTGATTTAGTTCAATTTTCATATACTTTATAGCAAATGGGTCCTCCAAATTTGCATGATCAGTCTAGTGCATCCATGCGGCCAACACCTACTTCTAGCACACTTAGCCAGCAATCAAACAGCCAACAGAGTACTCCTTCGTCGCAGAGCCAAGGTGTGATGCAGCACGGAGGACCTCATACTCCACATACACCTCATACTCCTCATACACCTCACACTCCTGGTGGCGGACCTCCCAGTGTTCCTCCTCCATCTACATCATCTCAGTCATCAATGGTCAGCCATAACAGCAACAGCACAGAAAATGGAAGTAATGGAAACAGTAATAGTCAGTCATCTGGTAGCAATGATACCCTTCCACCTGCTCCAGATTTGAGTGACTTGAATTTTGATCCTGCAGCTGTTATTGATGGAGAAGGACAAGGTCAAGAGGGTCTTAATGTAAGTTTTATATTCCTTTCTATTCTTTAGTTTATGAGAGTATAGCTTTTTATAAAAATATATTTCTGCCTATTTCCAGTTGTTACCTGAAAACGTTGTTGATCCTATCGAATTACTCTCTTACCTGGAACCTCCCGATCTGGGTGGAACGACAAACAACTGCAACGCAAATAGCACAACTGCTTCCAGTACGTCAAATACAATTACAAGTACTACTACCTCAACATCAAGTAGTTCTAGTGATGACTTATTGGCACTGTTTGAATCTTAAATCCCAGTGGACCAATGAAAAGTGTTCCAAAAATCTGATATTTCCATCAAGCAGTAAGAAGAGAAATTTTAAATTTGTTTGCGCTGTGATGGTGTAATGTGTTCCTTTACTGACAGTCGTTACGGGTGCAATGTCACAAAATACATAACTGAAAAGATACTGTTTTTACAGTATTAATAGTGATTGACTGGATAACTGGATTAAATATATTGCAGCCACTTATGTGAACAGATAATTGAAATTTGTACTTCAAGCAATGTTTGATTCTGCCAAAATTGGTGTTTGATATACAAAGGACAGCATTACATTGAATAACAAGTGTACAGAAGCAATTGTGTGTAGCGCACTCCCGAACTCGACTACTCAGACTGCCATTTTATTGGTATTTATTGTGTACTGCCAAATCAAAATCTGAAGATCTCCAGTTATATGTGAATAGAATGACAAATTGTAGTCAGGCGAAATTTTGCTTCGCAAATACGGTGCAAGATTTCACGTCTTATGAAAGTACTTACGCTGTTACACGAAACGGCAACACAACCGTGCACAACAGTACTTTTTTGTGTAGGAAAATGGTAGACATCTCTAGCTTGCAGGACATTTACAGGTTAACCGGAGACATTCCAGAAATGTTTTGGTCGAGGTGAGATAAAAGTGGTAGTTCACACGCACCACTTGGAATTTATCCCATCGAAAGAAGTCCAATTTATAATCTTAGACCAAATTCCCTCTTTTCTCCTATAACGTAGCGTGAATGTCTTCTGCAAGTTTTTTTGTAATTACACCTTTACCGTTCATAGTCGCTTTTAAAATCCGTGAACAAAAAATTTCAAATCATTCCGAGACATTAATTTCCATCTTCATTGCAAAATCATCGTTTCGACTTCACACCTCTTCGGCTTTCCCAATTTTCTAAAGCTATTTACGCGATGGACCAAAATGACGAATTTTACCATCTTTGGAGAATCGGACAAGAATTTTTGATAGGAGAAAACTTACTTAAACGACGTTGATGCATTCAGACAGTGTTTTATTTTTCAGCCCTTCCTTAACCGCACTTTACCGAGCTGCTTCGATGTCTTCCTTAAATGTAAATAATGTAGTTATTTTGTATAGTGAACTTTAAACTTTACGTGTCCATCATTCACCCGCTTTGAAAATCATGCAATGTATCAAATTAATGTTAAGATAGTTAAGATACAACTTTGCCGCTCGAGCGTATCCTTTCGGGCCCTCTTTACGCCTCGACCAACAAGAAGCTCGACCGATTTACATTTTAATCACGTAAATTATTATTTTTTTAGACGTGCCGCTTAATTTAAAAATTCGGATTTCTTTTAACCCGTTTACACTTCAGTTACAGTACTAACATTGATTGCATATGTACATATAAGTACGCATACCGGAACATAGTTTTGTTTCCTCTCCCCACTAAGAAGAAAGCATCTCGATGTAAATTGTCAAACTGTACAAATGGTCTTACTGTCGTACCATTTCTCATCGCAATGAGAATTAGCAAGCATTATGCAAAACAAAGAGTAAAGCAGTTATGCATATTGGCACATCACCGATCGAGCGGCCCACGTATGCAGCTTATGTTGCCTGTGCCCAACCATTTTATGGTAATGTCTTATTCTTAGTGTAGATATGCATATTTATACAATAAAATTAAGGTAATCTTGGTTTGAATTTCAATCTCCAGTTTTCTTCACACCTAATCATTTTTATTTCGTCACAGTTTCCTCAAAGAAACCAACCATTAATATTTAATTTATTCAAATATACAGAATTTATTTATATTCTGCCAAGACCAGGTTTTTTTTAATTCCCACTCCTGTGGACATTAATGAGATGATCATTTGGGGAGGAACCACTAACGAGACATTCCTTTCGGATTAAAATGTATAATGATTTTGCTAAAAATTATTTCAAATTGGAATATTTTTTGAGAATCTTTAGGACAAAATTTTTACTCTAACACCCCCCACTGTCACAAAATTTGTGCATATCCCCTCCCAGTACTGATGTCATCTTTGAATGATTCCAAAAGGAAGTAGAATTTAATTAAATATTTCTTACTTGTTAGCTATAAATTTCATTAATTATCCAGTTATAAACACTATAAAAATTTTACATATAAGGTTGCCACGCTTCCTACTTTCGGTAGGACTCTTACAATTACTATGTCTTACTTAAAACTTTATTGTCCTACGGTACATTTTAACTTTTACAAAAAACTGTTTAAAAGTTAGTCAGTTTTTGTCATAATCTTTCGCTTTTTCGTAAATTTACAAAATGTAAATGAAAGTATAAAAGCTAATTGTCACGTTCATATTTTGCATAATTCGTTGAGACACGCTCTAGAAGAATTGCCCATAGACGTTTAAAACGTTTTAAAGATCAATTCCCATTTTAGTTTGGACCTTGGATTGGTCCATTTTTAGGGGTGAAAGAATGGGTGAAAGAATTGTTTATGAATAGACATCAATGAGCTAGAATGTACATAGAGTGGCTGTGACCATGGTTACAGCGCTCTTGGTGGTAACTATCGACGAGTTGCAATATTCCACCTCGTTGCCTTTACATAACACAAATGTCACATCCTTTAACTAAGAGGATAAATGGCGGAGGTGTATTCAGTCTTCCTCAAACATGGCGTGGCTTCAGCCACTGTATGTAGTATATTCTAGCTCGTTTATACACATTTTGTCTCGAAAACGGATCGAGTGGTTATGGTTAATCAGCATTATTATCTTCTATTAAATATATATTTATTAAAAATTCTTGATTACAAATTAAGAGGAAGGAAAAACAGACACGTCATCTTATCAATTACGGGATTTCGCATAGATCATCAAAAGCGAAGCAAAACTCTTATTGATTCTTATGCACTTTATCAATTTGTTTACAAAATGTATTTTTTAGATATTTTCATTTAAACAAAATTTTTAAATATTGCAATTCTCATTGCAACTTTTGATAATTGAAGATATCATGATGTCGGGTGCTCGGTTTGTTTCGAAATATGAAACAATTAAATTCTTAAATAAATTTATTAAATGACAATTGACGTTATTACTTGATTCTGCTATTCAAAAAGCCCATCTTTAGAAAACAGAACCAATTATATTATTTCTTATTCAGTTCTCGGCTTAGCAATTGTAGAGCGAATGCATATTTCACTAACATATTCCAATGGATAAACATAACAGGCAAAACGCTAAACATTCCTCTAATTCATTAGGACATCCGTGGTCTTCCTCCACATCGAATGCTCTGTTAAAAAACAAATACAGTTGCCCCTCTATAGTCCGACGTTTTTTAATCCGACATGCTCAGTAGTCCGACGCACCTC